CTAAGAGTGTGCATGCTTATCTTTGCTGAGTATCCCCAGGGAATGGTAAAGAGTTCCTGGGCACTGAATAAATGCTAGTGAGAGAGCAGAGTATTTATTGCTGTAGCATTCAAGGGTAAAGGCCTAAACTGGAGAATAATACACCCTTAATTATAAAGGTTCCAAAAGGGGTTTTCGGAGCAATGCCATAGAAGAACCCAAAGAACCATGCAGTGAACAGTTTTTAAAAGAACTTAAAAAAAGGTTCTTTAGAAAAATCTAAAAAACATTTTGTGGAATGGAAAGGTTCTGTGGATTTTAAAGGTTTTTCATGGAATCACAGATGCAAATAAAGAACCTTCATTTTAAAGAGTGAGTCTCAACAGGTAATTACTGGACAGCGGATGCAGAAGAAATGTGCTTACCTACATATAGTTCTATTTAAGTAAGTAAGTAAATAAGCAAATAAATAAATACATTTTTATTTTAAATGGAAAATGGACAAGTTGGACTGTTATTTTCCAGCATACATGTGAACATGCATATCAGAATGCTCTTTCATCATCCCCGTGTTGGACACACTCGTCAGGTTCTTGCAAAGAGACAAATGGGTAGGCTGTGTTGGAGTCCAATGTCACTAGAGCTAAGTAGTGGAGAAAGCAGGAAGATTTTATAACAAATGAATATTTACGTGCCAGTGTTAAAATGTACAATTTGTTTAATTTAAATGTAATTCAAGTATGTATTTTTTTTCAGTGTTGTGCTTTTTGGGGTCTTTTTTATTTTTTATTTGGTCTATTTTTAAACATCCTGACACAGTAACAACATTGGCTTAACCAATAGTGTTTTAGGATGGGAATATCTGGTTGTTTGACCAATTGGAGCAGGTGGAAAAGTTTTGGAAAATAAATATCTTATAAATAAATATCTTGCTCAAAGTCACAGTGGCAACAATGGAGCTACTAATTAGCTCATCAATTTCTGCATCATACCTTCCAGATTTTCCACTCAGCTTCCTACATAAAAAGCCAAATAGTGAGACAGGTTGGTTTACAGAACCAAACCGATCATCTTTGAGCATGGTGGAGTTAAAGGCATGCAGTGCTCTAGTGACGGGCCAACCGAGGGTTGGGTTTAGAAATGGTCAAGAAACTCCTGGAGGCTCGTTGCTCAAACATTTTTGCTGCATGTCGTGACCCAGATGGGCCAAACTCTGAGGTGAATATTCAGGAGCTTTTGAAGACAGTTCAATAACAGTTGGTAAACGTGCATTTGTCTTTTGGACTATATTTGACATTGCAATAGACAGTTTTTTGGGTTTGAAATAACATCACATTTTTCCTGCTACTATTAGATGTTGCTGATCCATGCATTATCAAAGAGTCTGCCAAAAATGTTGGTTCTCTGTTGGGGAAGAATGGCTTGAACCTGCTTGTGAATAATGCTGCAGTGTTGCCACAAAAAAACCATGCTGACCACCACTGTTGAGGACATGCAAAACACCTTCAACACCAACGTGATAGGACCTTTATTTGTCATTAGGGTAATGCAATCACTTTTGGGAACAAGCTGAATCTAAAATGAGGCTTTATTTATTGCGGTGTCTGAAACACTTGGTTGTTAATGTCTTGAGTACCTGCCATATTTGCGTAGAGCAGCTAAAGCCAAGGGCAGACCAGGGATGTCATGTGATAAAGCAGCTGTGATCAACATATCCACAGATTCAGCATCTATGAGCATCATGCCAGTAATGAAAGAGCCATTCCCACTTTTCCCATACAGCATCAGCAAGGTATGCAAGAATCCCAAGACTGTTCTGATGGGCTTCATCAGAAAAATCCTCATTTGTAAGTGGTTTGAAACTCAATTAAAATCATATATTTGGAAATGTTTCAGTATGAAAAGGTCAGATTAGATTTCAAATAGTTTAATGTGTAATGTCCCTGAATAGAAAAAAAGTAATTTTTTCAAAAAGTAAACGATTTGAAATTGAATGTAATATCACAACGAGTGTGCTATTGAGCTGTGTGCAAAATCACCTTTGTATACAGTTCTAACAAAAAAACGTTTTAACTGATTTGAAACTTTGTCATGCATCTGTTTTCCTTTCAGACTGGTCTTAACATGTTGACCATATATACCGCAAGGGACTTGAAGGCAGATGAGATCCTCTGCATTTCCATTCACCCAGGATGGGTGAGGACAGTCATGGGGGGAGATGAGGTAAATCTAGATTCAGTAATAAAGGAATCTCTCAGGACCTAAACAGAACATGAGGCCTGAATCACAAAAGCACACTGATGCAGGCCCGGATTGGCTAATCGGGAGCACCGGGAAAATTCCCGGTGGGTCGGTCTGTTTTTTGGCTGCGAGGGCCGGTGCTGTCATGCCACTGCTATGGGGTTGAAATATGGATGCCCGTATTTAAGGCATCAAAGAAGCGTCCTGTATGAAAGTTATAACACAGTTTGTCCCGTATTCGCAGGCATATGCCATATGACCACCAGATATAAATAACAAATTCTCAATTGATAATTAATCATTAATTTTGCGCAAAATATTGTTTTATTTGTGAACGTAGCCGATTGAAGAAGGCTTTAAGACCAAGCTTCTCGTGCATTCTTAAACTTGGACCTCATTTTATTGAAGTAGAAATCCAAGCGCAAGAAGCAGCCCACACTCAGCCCACAAGTTTTCTTTAATTGAAAAATATGCATTTTCATTCATTCATAGGCTATATGGTTGCAATAATAGCCATTTTAGTTCAAAAAATTTAAGTGCATTGACGTTTCATAGACGTTCAGTTACGCTTTCAAATTTCTTGCCATTTGTATGTATGTAATTTCACAGTATTTTCACCTCCTAAATTACTACACTACTTGTGCAGTCACAATTTTATAATGGTACAATTTACTCAGGCTGATGACTTTTTTTGTATGACATTAAAATTATTTTTAGAATATAGGTTAAGCAAAACAAATGTGATTATTTCTGAGAACTTTTTAACTGCAGGCAGACATTATGGTACAGTATGCCTACAAATATTTAGTTGGAGATATGCGAGCAAAAAATAATAGATTAAAAAATGTATAATAAAGTGCAAAGGCGGCGCTGAAAAGGCCAGTAAATAATAATAATTAAAAAACAAAGCTGTAGAAAAATATAATGAATTACAAGTCTGTAGAGAACAGTGTGCTATTGCAGACTTATATACTGAAGTTTTAATTACATTATTGTAATAGCTATAGTCAGTCGTGAACTAAAGTGGGCCGCTCTAAGGCATGAAACTCCAGGGCTGAAAATGACTCCCACTCCGGCCCTGCACTGGTGGTCTCTTTTTTGATAATTGCTACACTATTTTAAATGCATGTTCTTCCCTGTTTGCCCACCAGGCGCCTATTGATGCCAGAGAAAGTGTGGAGGGGATGCTGTGTGTCATTGGCAGCCTTAATGAGAAGCAGAATGGTGCATTCTTAGACTACACTGGAGAAACAATGCCCTGGTAAACCAGAAAAAAACTCTTAAAAGAGGAACTTTATCAAAGGGCTTATCCAGATGACCTATTTTAACCAATATAAACAAAATAAGCATAGTCATTAATGTTTATGACATGTTCAATTTAATTATCTGTGTGTTCAATACAATAAAACAAACGATACCACAATATTGTGTCTACACTGGAAAAACAATGCCCTGGTAAACCAAAAAAAAAAGTTCATCAAAGGGCTGATCCAGATGACCTATTTTACCTATTATAAATAAAGTTATAAGTCATTAATGTTTGACATGTTCAACTTCATTCTCTGTGTGTTCAATACAATAAAACAAACTAACCTAAACAATACTTCAATATTGTGCCATTTATCTGAATGCATAAACTTTTTGTGCTGTATAATTTGCCATTCATCATTTAAAAAAACACCATCACAACACATATTTAGTATTTAATGTTAAGTGTTTTCTGACAGCATTTCTACACTACTACATGCACCTTAGCAAGCAATATGGGATGGGACTTAAAGACACTTAATCAGTCTTTTTACATTTTGATCAATATCCTTAAATTTTATAAACTATTACATAGATCTACTGATATCCAAACATTTACTTTGGTAGACAACAAACTGTCCATAAAACTTAACATCATGTACTACCAATCAAAGGTCTGGACACACTTGACTGAGCTTCTTGTGCACTTTAAAATCTGTTTATCTAAAGCCTTATGCTTAAATGCCTGAAATTAATTTTACACGCATAACAGACTTTTGTACTTTAAATTTTGACAAGTCATGTCTTGTGGCTAAGAAACTTCCACTGAATTAAAAGATAAATAACTGTTGGTGGGGAAAAGGAGGCTAGCAGTTATTGGGTAGACAGCTTGATACCGAGGACTTCGGTTTTGAGAAATAATTGAAAAATTCATCACGGTCAGTTTGTGTTAAGACCATAAAAACATGGGCTGATAACTACTCTATAAAGAGTATCTTTTCTGAGACTCTACAAGGAATTGTAAAGAGTTCATGGCCGTTGAATAAATGCTAGTGAGAAAGCCAAGTCTTTTTTGCTGTAGCATTCAAAGGTAAAGGCCTAATATTACACTTAAATATAAAGGTTCCAAAAGGGGGCTTACGGAGCAATGCCATAGAAGAACCATTTTTCCTTCCCCAATGAAGTCCACTCAGTGAACAGTTCTTATAAGAACATTAACAAAGGCCTCTTTAGAAAAATCTAAAGACCCTTCTGTAAAGAACATTTTGTGGAATAGAAAGGTTTTTCATGGAACCACAGATGCAAATAAAGAACCTTTATTTTAAAGAGTGAATCTCAACAGGTAATTGCTGGACAGCTAATGCGGAAGAAAATTCCATGACTGACTAATTTAAAATGTTCTTACCTACATATGGTTCTATTTATTTATTTTAAAATATATACATATATTTTTTTTTTTTACATTTCCAGCATACATGTGAAAATGCATCCCAGAATGCACCTCATAAGTGAGAATGCCCAAAGTGTGCAGAATTGGAATCCAGATGAATGGTGGTGACTTTCTATGAAAATTGGCCACATCTGGTCATACTTCAGTTTGACTTATTTTATGATTTGATTTAATTCTAAAACCTGGAAAAATTGTAATTTAGTAGAATAAAAGGTAAACGTTTCCAAATCTTTGACTGGTACTGTATAACTGAAGCAGAAATACATCAATAAAACTGGCATCACCAGGAGGCACTGTTCCATACTGCCACTCTCACAGGGCAGATCTTCAGCGGCCCTGGATTGTTCCCATTTATATTTGCCCCCGGACAGAAAAAAGGGAACATTGTCTCAGTAAAGTGGTCATTGAATGTGTAGATAGGTGTGACACCCACTGAATCAAAGAAGCTGACCTCTCCTTTATTATAGTCGATTTTCACCCGAACCCTTTCCAGGTGGCCCTTCAGGTTGAGCGGTGTATGTGGGGTGGTCATGGCTGTGTACTTCCCATCAGAGAGAGCGATGGTCCAGAATCCTCCTTCGGCACAGCCTGAGATTTTGCCTTTCCTGGCTACTGATTCTTTAACCACACCAATTACCCAGTCATTATTTTGGCCCACGTCCACCTCCCAGGAATGACATCCTGAGGTGAAACCCTTGGAGCCCAGTACAAAAACAAAGTGGTCAAAGCGCTCAGGGTTATCAGGCAGCTCTTTCATCGTCCCTGTGTTGGACACACTCGTCAGGTTCTTGCTAAGAGACAAACAGGGGTACGCTGTGTTGGAGTCCAACGCAACTGGAGCTAAGTGTTAGAGAAAGCGGGGAAAACATTTTAACAAATGTATATTTATGTACCAGTGTTAAAATGTCAAATTTGTTTAATTTAAATGTAATTTAAGTGTGTAATTTTTTCGGTGTTAAAAGTGTTTTTTAGGAATTTTTTTAACATCCTGACACAGTACATTGGCTCAACCAATAGTGTTTTGGGGCAGGAATATCTGGTTGTTTGACCAATTGGAGAAGGTGGAAAGGTTTTGGAAACCTGTCTGAAAGCAATCACTTTTTGCAATTTCATTTGCCACGTTAGTAATTACACCCATTAAATAGTAATTACACAGCTTTAAAGGGTTAGTTCACCCAAAAATGAAATTAGGCTGCGTTTTACTCACCCCCGAGGCATCCTAGGTGTATATGACTTTCTTCTTTCAGACGAATCCAGTCGGAGTTATATTAAAAATTGTCTTTGATCTTTCAAGCTCTGTCATTGCAGTCATTGCAGTTGCATTGCTTCAGTCCAAAAGAAGTTAAATAAAAAGCGCCCATCCATAAAAAAAAGTGTCTCACACAGTTACAGGCGGATGACGTATGAGGTCGGCTTTGTGCATGCGCCGCTGAGAAGTGATGCACGTGGAAACGCAGCGGAGAGATCAAAACAAAACAACGGTCAAGAATTAGAAGTACAAAACAAGGATTTGTAAAGAAGAATGTCAGAGGATTTCGATATAAGCCAAGAGGAGGCTGGTTTTCCTTTGCTAAAGGAAGGAAACTTTGTTTCCTTTGATCCTGTAAACAAACGCTGATTTCAGGAGAGTCACCGGCGCATGCACAATGCTGAATTCATACGTCTGTTCTATTTACAACTGTTGGCGCAAGCTAGATTAAAGTGATTATTACGTTTTGAATATGGATATTTTTCTTACAAAAACGCATCGATTCGCTACAGGAGGCCTTTGTTCACCCCCCGGAGCCGTGTGAGACACTTTTTTTTATGGATAGGCACTTTTTATTTAACTTCTTTTTGACTAAAGCAATGCAACACCCGCTGACTGCAATGATAGAGCTTGAAAGATCAAAGACAATTTTTAATATAACTCCGACTGGATTCATCTGAAAGAAGAAAGTCATATACACCTAGGATGCCTCGGGGGTGAGTAAAACACAGCCTAATTTTATTTTTGGGTGAACTAACCCTTTAAGAAAGTGTCATTGATAAATATAATTTAATAGATAATACATTTAATATAATACCACATTTAATTTGTCTTTATGAATTAGCCATAAACATGTATGGATACAACATATGGGCTATTTCCAGAAACATTAGAAGTTTTTGGAATGACACCTATATAAATATTAATATATTGGAATATAAATATATTACTATAAAATATTTGTTCATTTTATAATTTTATCATCATTTTACAATATTTTTACATTATATCATTGTATGTACCATGCTGGCTGAAAACCATTTCCCAGAAAGCTCTACTTTACTCAAAGTCTTCAAATTGGAGCCAAACAACATGATGCAGATTTATAAGATAAAAATGTACACAGAACACATTAGTGATACTCTGAAAGTCTTTGAACTGCAGTTCAGTAATTTCCCTTTCCTGTGCTTCTAATTTTACCTGTCAGACATTCTATTCAAATTCCAACTCCTGAATTTAAAGGGAACCTATTCTGAAATTCTAAATGTTTACACAAACTCATCCAACTCTGTAGTAACTGAACACTCACTGTATTCCACCAGGCTCTGCATTTTTTCCCACACTCTGAACTGCAGCGAGGTGATGTGCTCTGCAACGTCGATTAGAGAATTGGGGACGTTTTCTGGTTCGTTAAATGTTATCTGAGCTCTGGAAGGACATTCATTCAGGTTAGTTGTGGCTTTTATGCAAATAGATCAATCAAATTCTTTCAAATGTACAATGTACTATTACCTCTTTTTGACATTCTTGCAGTTCTGTGTGAAAAAAGTAAAATCAGTTACTTGCACTAACATTTGTATAAACTTGATAAGATTAGTTAACAATCTAAATACAGCAGGTTACCTGTAAAAAGAGGCTGTCAGCATTAGCAATCTCGTTTTCAATGGCCATGACAGCCTGAGAAAAGGTGAGTATATCACGAGCGATTATGTCGGTTTTTTTCTTCATCGTCTGTTTCTTGGTCTCTTCTTCTTCTGCCAGCACAGCAATCCTTGCAGCTTCCTCCTTCAGAAGAAATTGCCGAAGCTCTTCAAACTCCTTGTGAATTTGTTTCTCTGTCTGTTGTCTTTGGTTCTATGTGAATCCAACATAAAGAAGGCAATTAAGTGATTATCCCAGTTATCTGTTGATGGTTAGTGTGTCATATGATGTTTGTTAGTGTGGATCTTGTTCTTTGTTGATACCTTGATGTGGACAGTTATGTCATCACGTTCCTGTTTGGCCTCATAGAGGCGTCGAAGGCTTTTCTTAAGTGGGATGACAATCTGCCGCATTTCCTCCTGGACAAAAAAAAGTACATCTCAATCCAACAATGTCCAAAAACAACCCTCTAGGACAGTTTGTAAACCGAAAACAAGAATCCCACAAGATTTTAAAATAAATTAATAACAATATAGAAATTACGCTAAAAAAAAATCAAGTTCTAACTCTAGGAAAACACATATTTACTATTAATGTCATTGCTTTTGAAAACTGTATTGACTTGCCTCAGTTTATTAAATTCCCAGATATTATCAAGTTTTCCATGACCATGAAAATTTGTTTTTTCAAGAACACCCACCAGATTCCACAATTGTAATTTAGTAATGGTAATTAACCAACTTCATGCATTTTTGTTTTGGCAAGGTAATCTGTATTATATCATTAAAATGCAAAAAATAATCACGTAATTATTGAATATAATGTATAATAATATATTATTAATATAGCATGTATACATTCTGGCAGCATTTATTGTTCTACCTTTAGTTTATGCATATTAAATATTTACAATTTAAAACAATTTACAAAATATCTATAGCATCACAGTAATAAGAATCGAGAATAATGACAAATACAATAAAAATGTCTGGATGCATTATAGTAATAAGGATTTTTGAGGGTTAACATGCGTGTCATAAATCAATTTCAAAATAAAAACAACCAAAAGCCTTATTATTTAGCCTTAGTATTTTGGCTTATTTGTGGTACAAAAATAAGCTTACTTTGAAAATAATTTCTTAAAAGAAGAAATATAATACATCATCACCTTGAGATCATTTGCTGCTTCCTCCAAAGGACACACACTGTGGCCTTGATGTTTCTTGGACGTTTGACAAACACAGCAGAGAACTTCTTCATCATATTGGCAGAACAATTTGAGTCCCTCTCCGTGAGTGGCACAGAGAGCCTCTGGTTTAGACGCCCCGTTGGCTGAATATGAGCCCACTCTCGCAGACGCTTGTCCTTTCAGCTCCTGTGCGATGGCGTCGCACACGTTCTTCAGAGCCAGACTCACGGTGGGCTCCGTCAGAGAACACTTCCTCCTGCACACGGGACATTCCCTCTTGGCCGCCTTCTTGTTCCAGAAGGCCTGAAGGCAGAGGCGGCAGAAACTGTGGCTGCACTTCAGGACCACGGGATCGGTGAAGATCTCGCAGCAGACCGGACAAGAGAGCTCATCCTCTAAGGGCGACTGCGTGTGGGACGACAAAGCTCTCGGGCGCAGAACTGGGACGTTTTTAATGCTTGGAAGGGTGTTTGCTCTTCCAGGTTGCGAGGAAGCCCTTGGTCGCAAGGGCATGGCTGTCTGGTGTTGCTGGAGTCCACTTGCTTTTGAAACCAAAAACGTGATGAGCCCAAGCTACTCCTGCAGTGTTTCATCTAGACCACAAGCCTTCCACAAGCACCCTCACGTTCCAAAAACAAGTCTGTCCTTCACCAATAATGACCTTTTATAGAGCCGTGACTATCCTTAACTTGAAATACCATCACAAAATTCTCAGAAGTCAGTCTTTTGACCGCACCTCGTCCACTGGAGCACTGGGTTTTTATTTACGTCACTCTAATATACGGTCTTGGTTCATTATTGGATCAACTGGTGCTTGAGGGGAAAACAAACCGCCATTGATCTGTGAAATGTTTGGTGTAAGCATTATTGTTTTGGGAACTCGGAGGCAACGTGAGGGGTTGCAAGAAAGCAAATGCTTTCCAAATGCCGCAGGGACATTTACGCAAAGTAACTTATACAGAAAACTCCACATATAGCCACATGAGTGGAAAAAATTGCAAAAATGTGTGTTTCTAACAGGATAACTTACAAATACTATACCAAATCACTCTTAAATCATATTTTCAGTGCAGGTCGCTCGTTCCCTTATATGTCCACAATGGTAATGCAAAAGTAAAGAATGGAAATATGCCCTTGGTGAGGTTGATCAGCCAAGGAGAACGAACCCAATGTTTCAATGAACAACCGTAAGAAGGAAACACCTACTGCTTTCCAGACCATAAAAACAAAACCAAACAACTCATTTTGTTTGTTTTAATATTGTTGAGAAATCTAACAAATAACAATTTGGTGCAATAGCATTTCTGTCAATGAAAAAACAACAACAACATATATAACAGACTTATATCATAATTATTGCCATTTGAAGGTAGTCTGAGACAGAGTAACATGAGGCCATCAAAACCATTACTTCATCAGTGTAAACTATTCATTCTTAAAAACAACGCTTATCTAAATGTGTTCAAAAAGCATCGAATGAAAAAGTGTCCAAAGTAAATCAACGACAAGAGAGCTGTGTTTAAGCTACACTGATAGCTTTACAGTATGTAAAAAGTAACACCAAAACATTTTTTTTTTCTTTTACATTTTTGATCTGGGTCCTTTAAACATTAACCTACATCTTCCATAAGACAAGACGCCTGGCTAAATAATAAAAAAAGAAATATAAAGTTTAAAGTTTTAACCATCACATGATCAGTACTTTACATTTCAAACATGCTCTGACTTTACAGATGTGAAATATTACAGTGTTCAACTGCTTGGTTAAAAGAGTAATAATCAGCTCTGAGTTCCACTAACTCAACATGTGCTCAGTGTAAGACGCCCGTGTTTGGTCATATTTGCAGTAATACTGTCAGTATCTTGGAAATGCTCACTGGACTGGCTGTTGTATAGCTTTTTTTGTAAACACATCAACACTATATACACTCAAATCAATACCATACAATCAATACCATCAGTGCTTTAATATTAACTTGTAAGTAGGGCTGGGCAATATATATATATATTTTTTTTTCTTTTCAAAAGCCATGTTTTGCATGTGTGTGTATATGTATACACACAACATGGATTTTCAAATCTGAAATGAAACTATCCTATCGCCCAGCCCAACTTTTAAGCCCTTCATACTTCATACCTCCTCCACTATTCTTTTAAAGGATAAATACTGTAACAGGTGAAACACTATCTGTAATACTTCATGATATTTCTTAATACTGATTTTACTGATAAAAAAGAAAAAGATTTCCTTGTGTTTGGCATTATGCAGTAGTTTACCACACTACTAAAATGAAAACGGATGGTCTATTTCTTTCCCGTTTCTTTTACTCTTTTAAAATAAGAGCTAAGTCACAGAACTGGAAATGTAAAGCACTAGAGGTCATTTAGAAACGGTTCACTGCAACAGCTTCAAAGCCACTTGAAATCCTTTGTATAATAGAGAACAAGAGTACATAACAAGACAGCACATGCTTTAGGGAATCATTATAGTGTTGATAAGACAAATGGTCCATGATTCTGCCATGGGACGGGTCAGATCCACACCGCAGAGGTCACTACAGTGCAAACCAGCATTGCCTTGATCTCTGCACTGTGCCTTACCGTGCAATTTATACAGCGTCGGGCAACACAGTGCAAGTGAAAGTCACAGTATGCAACAGAGTAACCTCACAGGGGTACCAAACGCGGGCCCTGGAGTAAACACCTTGCAAATTCAATGAGTCTCAGCATCTTTTGCTTAATATCCTACTAAATAAGACATTTCATATAAGTGATTAGGCTCAACCTAGCCAAATCTGAATACAATTTTAAAATGCATTCAATGTAGTGTCTTCATAACATCTGCATCTTAAAAAAAAAAAGTGGAGTTAGAGGCCTACATACAAGTGTTTCCAGCGTTCTTAAAAGCATCCCAGCATATGATCCCAAAATCAACAAAAATAAAACTCAAGTTTTCCTAGAATTACCACTTTTAGCCATTTCTACAATTACACCCGACCGACCTTTGCATCGCCGATGGCACCCCACACATCAAACACAAACTCATCTGGAAATGCAAAATCACCCAGAGTCTCATCCAAAGCTTCGGCAAATTCATCCGGGTTCTTTTTGTCCTTGCCGAGCTCCACCATCGTGGCAGCTGTAAATGAGTGTGGGAGTTAGAAACACCACTTAAAAAAACCAACTGTATCAAAACAGCAATATGCAGGGAAACATACCAAGTTCACTGTCTCTAATGCCCATGTAGCTCTCCAACAGATCATCGACTTTCTCAATAGCTTTTTCTTCAAATGCTGATGGCTGCAACACAAAGAATGAATGAAATATTACAGATTACCTCACTCAGCTAAAAATTATGATTGATTAGATGATTGTGTCATTGTGGTTGGTTGTCTGTGGTGTTTTTCTAAAATGATGTTGCAAACTGTACTGATAAGTCACCAGAATAATGTTATCTAGCTGGCATAGCACGAGGTAGCATAACACATAAGGTTTTGCCGAATTTGTAAAAATTGTGATAGACTTGAGAGTATCAGTAAAAATATTGTAAACTACAAAACAATCTTTAACATCTGCATTACTCAGTACAAGTGTGTTTATGAATATATATGGCGTATATGTATATATATATATATATATATATATATAT